ACAACGGGTACGTTGTGTGCCACCCTACTGGTTATCTTTACCATCGTCATCGTCGCCGTCACGGTCAAAGGACGTGGTCGTGGCGTCATTGTCGTTGTCATCGTTGGTGTCGTTGTCGTCGTCGTCGTGGTGGCCGTGGTGATCACAATCGAGGTCGTCATCGTCGTTGGTGTCATAGTTGCCATCTTCGCCGTTGTCTACAGTCGGACCCCCAGGCCAGAAGAACATCCCTCAAGAACACGAGACCCTCCGTCGGCAAAAACAAATAGAACATATCCAACAAACACGAAGAGAATTAGAGCACCCTCCTTGAACCGACCTCGATCTTATACCTCTCTCCGACTGCACAGCACATGCTCCTGCTGCGGCTTCTTCCTCCCCGGCGTTTCCACCACGGCGCTGGGCGCCTTCTCGCGCACGAACGCGAAAATGCTGACGAAGGCCTCCTGCCCCGGCAGGCTGAGTCCGAGCCTGGCCCCGGCACCACACCCCATCACGGAGGCGAGGCAGGGAGAGCGGACGCGAGGGAAGGACACGAACAAAAAATCGGGCACGCACGAACCGTGCGGGCATCTCTGGGGGGCCGGCGGGTCCAGAGAATGCCATTCGGCGCCGCGACCGTCCCGGAGCGCTCCAAGGAGTACTGCTTCGACGCTGCTCGGGAGCGCTCTGCAGCGACGCGCTCGCGTCGCGACATGAGAAGTGCCAGCTTCACAACTGGTGGGAAGGAGTCCCCACGATACCAGGGGAGAAGGAGGAGGAGGAAGAGGAGGAGGAGGAGAAGAGAGGAGAGAGGAGGAGGAGGAGGAGGAGAAGAGAGGGGGAGGAGGAGGAGGAGGAGGATGAGGAGGAGGAGGAGGAGGAGGAGGAGGAGGAGGAGGAGTGGAGGAGGAAGGAGGAGAGGAGAGATGATGAGGAGTAGGAGTAGGAGTAGGAGTAGGAGGAGGAGGAGGAGGAGGAGGAGGAGGAGGGGGAGGAAAAGGAGGAGGAGGAGGAGGAGGATGAGGGAAGGAGGATCTTAGCAAACCCAAGACACATCACCGATATTGCAATAAACCCTCCCTCCAAGTTCCCTCTTCCAAGGCACCTGCAAAGACTCATCTTCATTGAAGGAAGCGCCCAGTTGGAAAACAACCGCTTGAAAATCCAGAAGTGTGCCTAGGACACCATTTCTGGGACTTCAACGCCGCGAATCACCGTCATTGCTGCGTCTTGACGACCCTGAATCGTGCCAGAATCGTGGGACTCGAACACCACGAACCAACGTAGCTGATGCGCCCTGACAATCCGACATCGTGCCAAAACATTATTTCTGCGACGTGAACCACGAGAATCCTTGAAACCTGTTTCTGGCGGTTGGAGCTGACGAAGCTCCTTGGGCAACGCGCGGCTGGTCATGTGGCGGATGCGTCCGCCGCCAAATTACCCGCGCCAGAAGCAGTGGCCTCCGAAAACAGCGAGCACAGCGCCGTCGGCTGTCTGCGAGAGGGGGGCCCACGCTGGGATGGCTCGGCAGCTGGGGATTATGGCGAGGTGCTGAACATGGCGGCCGACCAAGAGTCGCAATGACCCTTAGAGGTCGCCGCGCCTGTCGTAGTCCCTCCGCGCCACGTGCCACACCTTCCAGATGGTCGCAGGACTCAGCGCAGACGAAGTACACCCCAAGCAACCTTTGAGCTCTGTGATGCTACGGTGGCAGCGCTGGTCGTCATGCGGTTGCGCGGCTACGTTTCAGCGCCCGTCGCCATAATTTCTGCTTGAGGTGCCGATCCCCAGGCCCAACGCGCGGAGGCGCACGATTGGCATCTTTCTCTAGGCACGTGCAGCCGCTGAAGGTCCGAACAGAAGCGCGCCTTCGTCCACGGCGCAGAAGGGCGGATCCAGCGAGGCCTGCGTGCGACAGCATGCGGCCCACTCCGGAAGGGGCAGGCCAAGAGGGCTCCACCCCCTGGCCCTCACTAGTGCGCAAGGGCACCCCCGTTGGGGCGTGCTGGCGACTGCTCCAATGTTTGTCGATGCGTGGGCCCCAGAGGTCTGGACCTCCTCCCGAGGGCCTGTGTTTCGCCCAGGGTTGGCTTTGACGGCCTCCGAGTCCCGGCGAGGGCCCCCAGAGGCCGAAAACTGCCAAAAGCCCGCCGCCCCAATCTTCGTCGGCGCGTGGGATCTCTGGGCCCTGCGCGGCCCCAGAGGCTCCCTGGGCCCCGATGGGGGCCGCTGCGTGGACCTGCCCGCCACGGCAGGGCACCGTCGCGGGCTGCCGCTCCGCGGACACCGCGCTGCCCTTCGGCACCGGTGCCCGCGCTGGGCGCAGAAGCCGCTCTCCGTGGCCCGCCCGACGGCGCTCACCATGGCGCCGGCAGCGCTCGCGGACAACCTGCACCGCGCTAACTACTTTCGCTCCCCCACCTCTCGGAATGGTGGACCCGCTGTCGAGCTCCCTCCAGACCGAGAGCCATGCAATCTCAAGGCGCCCCCTCCACTGGTGGCAATGAGGAGGACGAGGAGGGGGATGATGATGATGATGATGATGATGATGATGATGATGATGATGATGATGATGATGATGATGATGATGATGATGATGATGATGATGATGATGATGATGATGATGATGATGATGATGATGATGATGATGATGAATGATGAATGATGAATGATGAATGATGATGATGATGATGATGATGATGATGATGATGATGATGATGATGATGATGATGATGATGATGATGATGATGATGATGATGATGATGATGATGATGATGATGATGATGATGATGATGATGATGAGATGATGATGATGATGATGATGATGATGATGGAGGAGGAGGAGGAGGAGGAGAGGAGGAGGAAGAGGAGGAAGAGATGGAGGAGGAGGAGGAGGAGGAGGAGGAGGAGGAGGAGGAGGAGGAGGAGGGAGAGATGGAGGCCCTGAAACCTCAGGGCTGCCCCCCCCCCCCCCAGCCCCCCGCCTCCTGGCGGCATCTTCCGCGTCCGAGCCTGCGGTGGCCAGCTCCTCCACGGGCGGCATACAGGGCGGCGTGCGATGGCGGCATGCGATGGCGGCGTGGGGGGCGTCGGGAGGAGCAAGGAGGGCCGCTCATGCCCTCCTCGAAGGGGGGGAGGGGGGACGACGCCCATGGAAGGCGAGTCCAAGTCGCCCGAAACCACACTACGTCAAGACAAACAGTGAAGGGTCCTCCCTAGGATCCTTCATTGTTGGTCTTGATGTAGTGTGTGGGTAAGAACAACCTCCTTGGCTAAGAACAGCCAGGACCCAGGACCCTCAGCCGCTATCCGGGCGGCTCCCTGCGCCACAGATGTTTGAGGTGGGCAGTCTGAGCGCTGAGGGCCTTGGGGCTCTCCGAGGGGCCTCGAGGAGCGGGAAACAAGCAACTGGGGGGGGCACCCGTGTGAGCGGAAAATTAGCTCGGGTGGGCTGGTCCGATGGCGCTACACGGTACACCCAAAGCTGAAGCTGAAGCCAAAGCTGCGGCGCACAGAAACATCAAGGAATAGGCCAAAGGGCAAAGGGGAAGGGAAAGGGAGAAGGTGAGGATGCAGGAGGCGGGAGGGAGGCTGGATGAAGTGGGCGGAGGAGAGAGGATCCATGAGGAGGGAGGGGTGACGGGACGGAGGCAGGGGGAAGGATGAAGGATAACCCGCCGATCTCAGCATGCCAGGGGTGGAAAAACGCATGAGACACTGGCTGCCGTCATGCCCCTTTCCGTCCAAAATCCCGTTTGACAGGGGTGGGGGGGGCGGGGGGGGGCGGCCAGCTCCCTGGCGCACCTCCCATCGTCACCCCGGGCCCCAGAGCAATCTCCTCGGATCTCACGGGGTCCCAAGAGCGCCACGAGACGGTCCCAAGAGGACATCGAAACGGCCTGCGAAGGTTCCAAGACGGCCCAGGAAGGGCCCGAGACGGCCCAACCCAACAGACCCCCAAAACGCTTCAAGACGGCTCGGATGGAATCCCCAAGAGGGTCTCCTGACCGAATGGTGCTTAGTTTTTTGTTTGCTTGATTTTCTGATGCACCTCTAAGATTTCAACGCACTCGTATCTTCGACTTCCAAGACGTCCAAGATGGCCCACGAGATTCGCAACATCGCCCCAATACAATCCAGAAAGTGTTCCAAGTGAGCGCGAAGAAGACCCAGAAGGCCCCAAGACGGCCCCGGAACCACCCCAAGAGGTCCCCGAAGAGACCTGATTAATTAGAGCTTATGTTCCCCGTTGGGCGAAGTCAAACGGATGTTTCGTAAGACTTCGATGCAGTTGTTGGCCACAGTTGATTCTATACAGACGATGTCAGATCGGTTGTTCGAATTCCAAGACCACCTGCATGTTGGAACAAGATGAGTTCCCTTCTGGAGTGCGGCCATTGTCGATAGCGTTCGAGTCACCTCACCTCGACACGCAGATGACGGACTCCACTTTCATGTTCGCGGTCGACTTGGGTGGGCTCTCTCCGGGACGCAAAGAGGAAGGCGTACGCAGCCCATCCTGCAGTCCAGGAGAGGTTGGACCTGATCATGATGAGAGCGCAATTTGTAGATTCGCTGGGACGTACCACACGCGAGAACTTCATCAATCAATGCCTCGCCATCGAGCCCTTGGGGCTCACGGCTGACCCCGAGTTGGAGCTCAATCCCAACCTTTCGAAAAACCAGCAGAGCGCGATCTGAAAGTGATCAACCGAGCAGTGGCTCACATGCAAGCTCGACTGGATCAGTTGGCAAAAGCTGGCGCTCGGAGGCATAAAGTCGCACAATATGTAGCGTCCCGATCCCTGGAGGATTTGGTAACTATGGTGATTGATTCCAAGATTTCTCATGCAAAGTGCCGTGACCAGAAACGCAATGACAAGGCAGGGGAGGCCCTTATTTCCAAGTGGATCCCGAATGGTACCATAAAGCGAAGCGTCATGACGAAGACGATGCCCAACCCTAATAAAGGCCGCCAAGTTCGCCACGCTCTCGACCTCTCGCATGCTAGGGATCTTGACATTATCGTCGCCGCTTTCCTTGCTGCACTCCGCCTGGGACTCAGCTTTTCACCCGCCGCCAGGATGCCCGCTGCGCACCTGTCCGAAATCCGCCGATCCGGCGTGTGAGCTACCTCAGCAAGAGCTTCAACTCTGAGCCTGAGCAAGAGCTTCAGCTCTGCTTGGGGGGGGTCACCGGGGTGGCTCTGCAGGGGAAGGGGGGAGGGGGGGGGTCCTCCATCTGGCGTTTCTTCATGATTTGCGCATCCCCAAGATGTTTCGGGGGGTACCAGGGAACCCCCCCAGGACTCTCCCCTCGGAACCCTCCCCTGACCACCCCCCCCCAGAGAAGGGGGGGAGGGGGGGAGGCAAGCTAGGTGCGCTCGCGTCATATCTGACATCCCATCCCTTACTATGGCGTAGATCCCCTCTCTACTCGCACAGTCGGATGTCGAGCAGGGCAATAGGGTACGCGATGCATTGTAGAGCACGGCATGGCATGGCGTAGAAAAGCACCGCAAAGCGTAGTATGTCACAGCATGGCGTGGCGTGGCGTAGTGAAGAATTGCATCACAAAGCTTTGCAACGCAAAGCATGGCATCGCACAGCGGCCCCGAACATAACATTGCATAGCATGGCGTTGAAGATCAAAGCGTAGCATGGCATAGCACGACGTGGCACTGAAGCACTGCATATCACAGCTTCAGCTGAAGGCATGGCATCGCGCAGCGGAACGCAACCTAGCATTGCATTGCATGCCGTGGCATGGCACGGGAAATGACGCCAGCGCTGCAGCGGGAGCACGATTCGGAACGAGCGGAAGCGCGGAAATGAGGCCAGCGCTGCAGCGGGAGCACGATTCGGAACGAGCGGAAGCACGGAAATGAGGCCAGCGCTTCAGCGGGAGCACGATTCGGAACGAGCGGGGCCCGAAAATGAGGCCGGCGCCTCAGCGAGAGCAGCATTTTGAAAACAAATGCAAGCGAAAACCCAACTCCGGGGAATCCTGTGCGTAACAAAACAATACGCGGGGGGGGGGGCGAACACCCCCAACCTGTCATCAGGGGAAGGAGGAGAGTAGTATTCATATTGAGTAATTGTGGAGCGGTCCCCCATCTGGCGTTTTCTTAATGATTTGCGCATCCCCACAATGTTTCGGGGGGTCCTGGGACCCCCTCAGACCTAGCCGCTACCGCCCCCAGGACCCTCCTCAGAACCCGCCCCGGACCCCCCCCGGTACCGCTCCAGGCACCCCCTCAGAGGGCACGTCAGCTACAAAAAGGGTCCCCGACGACTCCAAGAGCGCCCTCCCTCCCAAGCAGCGTCCCCGACGACTCCAAGATCACTGAATCGGGAGCCCCCCGCATCGGCGGCACTGGCCGGAGGCCATTACAATAATGAGCTGGCCCGTCTGGTCGGGAGATTCAGCTGTCGGAAACAATTAGGCAACACTCACGCGTAACATACGTATGGTGTAAACTCCCCCCCTCCCCCCGAATGCAATGTTGGGCTCGGATCTCCCAAGTTTGAGTGTCGGACCAGTGATGCGCATACGTGCAAACTTTGAATTGCGGGGGGAAGGGGGAGTCTTGCTTCACTTTTTGCCTCCACCGTCTGATGCGGATCAGCACTGGGGGAGCCAGAGCAGCAGCAGGGGGTACAGGGAAGCTGGAAAGAGTAAAGTTGGAAATTCCTTAAAAGTACCTTCGTTGACTTGGTAAAATCGCATCTGGCCGAGGCCATTGGTAGGAAAAAATAGTTGGGGCAGCGAGGCAACCGCCAATGGATCTGGATCTTCGCCCACGGCCAAGACGAGGTCCCAGACGGCGGTGCCGCGGCGTCGGGCCCTGGGGCCCACGGGGGGCCCGCCAGTATCTCACGAAAGGGGCGGCGGGCGCTCGTGCACGAGACGGGGCTGAGCCACAATGCTCCACCCAGTTGGCGAGCCAGTCGAGCCAGGACCGCCTGCAAGCTGCAAAGGAAGAGTGCTTGGGTATATCCGCAGCTTCAGGGTCGAGCCGAGCAGCGGCAAGCCGGCCAGTGATGCGGATCCGCCCGATGTGGCGCTCGCGGCTGCCACTGGGCGCTCGACGAGCGCCAGGTCGCCGCCGAGCGTGTAAACTTGATCACCGTTCTGCGCCTGGCGCGGGGGCTCCGTTACCGCTGCAGCCGCGCAGCCTCCTCGGCCTCTGCCTCGCAATCGGTTCTGCCTCGCAGTGGAGGAAGACGAGGAGGAGGAGGAGGAGGAGGAGGAGGAGGAGGAGGAGGAGGAGGAGGAGGAGAGGAGGAGAAAGAGGGGGGGAAGTGGATGATGATGATGATGATGATGATGATGATGATGATGATGATGATGATGATGATGATGATGATGATGATGATGATGATGATGATGATGATGATGATGATGATGATGAGAGAGGAGGAGGAGGAGGAGGAGGAGGAGGAGGAGGAGGAGAGGAACGTATTCGCAAGGCCCGTCCTGCGTGGTCAGACACTTGTTCAGCAGCAGCGCGTCCTCAAAGGGTGGCTGAGTGCAGCAATGGGCCAGCGGCGTCGGGGGGCCCTCCCCCAGCTCTTAGAACCACTGCCCAACCCGGCAACTTCCCTCATCCTCCTCATGCTGCTCCTGCACCTCCTGCTCGTGCTGCTTTCCCTGCTCCTCCAGCTCCTCCAGCTCCTTCGTCACCGTCCCTCCTCTCTCACCGCTCCCTCGGATGAGCCTTCTGCTGTGGTGGAGGAGCGTGAAGTCCCTTTTTTGGTGCATTCCTGGAGATTGCGAATGCCTCGGCCAGTTTTTTACTGCTCAGAAGAAGACGTACCCAGCTGGCCTCTGCAGAGCCCTTGCAGCTGCCATCGCCGACAGCGCCCGTTCTCTCCTGCCTCCTGAGCCTCCGTCCTCCCCCTCTCCAGGTGACGATGTTGAAGTGGTGGAGTGTCCGCCTGTCCTAGAGGAGGTCAGATCGTCTCTCGAGGCTTTCTTTGTTTCTTTAGACAGGGAGGCGTCGGCCCTGGCGTTGCCAGCTCCACATTTTGCGGGTTTCAGTCGTTCTGGTGGTCCCAAGCGGGACCCAGAAAAGTTTAGGTTTCTTGATTCCGCAAGGGCTCCCAACTTCGAGCTTCGCGCTGCGCGAAGCGCGAAGAACTTCGCGCTCTCGCGCCGCCCCCCCAAAGGGAGAAAAGGAGGACGAGGAGGAGGGGGAGCAGGCACGAGGACCGCGAAGCGCGAATCACTTCGCGCCCTCGTGGGGAGCCCCTTGCTCCGATTCGGATGCCGAGGCAGCTACAGCTTCGGACCAGGCCCTCCAGCCGTCAGCCCAGACGTCGACCTCGGGCTCTCCAGAGGCCGAGGGGCGCCGAGGCTGAACGGCGGGTGGCCGATCTGCTCCCCGGCTCCCCGGAGGAGCCGGCGGCGCCATGGCTGCTGTCCCCTCCCGCCTCCCCCCGCTTCCCCTCCGCCGCCTCCCCCCGCTCCCCTCCCCCTCTCCTCCGAACAGCTGGCCAGGCTCGCGGCCAACCGCGCCCGTGCTTGGGCGATCCGAGAGACTCGTCGGGTCGAGCTGCATGCACGCAGAGACCCCTGGACTTCAGGAGGCGCTCTGCGAGGGTCTCGCTTTCCGCAGGCGGGGGCACCTGCGTCGGCGACGGACCAGCAGGAATCGGCTTCTGCCGCCGCCGCTGCTGCAGCTGCCGCCTTTTTTGCGTGAGGTCTCTACGCTTAAGTCGGGCCTGTCCCCCTACAGGGGGATTCTCGACGAAAAATAAAAAATACCCTACAAATAATCAAAAATAATCCAAAAATAGTTTGGGGACTATTTTTTTAATATTTGTTGGTCCTTTTGGGGTATGTTTTGAGTATTTTTTATTTTTCGCCGAAAATCCCCCTGTAGGGGGACAGGCCCGACATAACTCTACGCGGGCGGAAACGGCACATTGTAAGACATCCCAGGGGTCTGAAGGCACTCCACGTCGCGCCCGACTTGCAGGGCGCTGCGCCCCTGGCGGCCAGCTGCCGCTTCGTCCGAGGCGGGTCCGCCGGGGGCCGCGCGCGCGCCGGCCTGGCCTCTCTGCAGTTCCGCAGTGCCCCTGGCAGCCAGTTGCCGGCTCCTCCGAGGCTGGTCTGCCGGGGGCCGTGCGCGCTGGCCCGGTGAAAGTTGCCGGTGCGTCCGAGGCTGGTCTGCCGGGGGGCGCGCGCGCGGATATCGGACCATTTTGCTCTGCAGCGTCCGTGGCGGCGGTTTGCGCCTACAATGTGAGACCTGGGCGGTGGCGGAAGCGGTATGTGCGCCGCCCGCCCCAGGCCTGAGTGAAAGGAGCACGGTGTACCTCAAGCCCCGCGTTGAACAAAAAAAAATCGCTCCCTCCCTCCCCACCCCCTCGCTGTCCACTCGTTCCTCCTCCCAGCTCCCTCCTCCTCTTCCCCGTCTCCATCATCCATCCTATCCTGCTACTCCTCCCCCCTTCTCCCCCCTCCCCCTCTCCTCCTCCTCCTCCTCCTCCTCCTCCTCCTCCTTCTCCTTCGTCCTCGTCCTCGTCCTCGTCCTCGTCCGCGTCCTCGTCCTCCTCTCCTGCTGCTCCTCCTCCTCCTCCTCCACCTCTTCCTCCTCCTCCTGCTCCTCCTCCTCCTCCTCCTCCTCCTCCTCCTCCTCCACCTCATCATCACCACCGCCACCGCCACCGCCACCACACCACCACCACCACCACCACCACCACCACCACCACATCATCATCATCATCATCACATCATCATCATCATCATCATCATCATCATCATCATCATCATCATCATCATCATCGTCATCATCAACATCATCACATCATCATCATCATCATCATCATCATCATCATCATCGCATCATCATCATCATCATCATCATCATCATCATCATCATCATCATCATCATCATCATCATCATCATCATCATCATCATCATCATCATCATCATCATCATCATCGTCGTCATCATCATCATTATCATCACATCATCGTCATCATCGTCTGCATCATCATCAACATCATTATCATCACCATCATCATCATCATCACCATCACCATCACCATCACCACCATCATCATAAACATCATCATCATTTTCATCATCAGCATCATCATCTTCACCATAATCAGTCATATCATCATCGTCGGTATCATCATCATCAGCATCACCAGCACCATCATCATCATGGTTATCATTACAGGCAGCAACACCACCATCCTCATCATCAGCATCATCAGCATCATCACCATAATCATCATCATCGTCATCATCACCATCATCTTCAGCATCACCATCATCGTCGTCATCATCATCAGCATCATCGTAAGCGTTATCATCATCGCCATCATTGTCCTCAACAGAACCACCATCACCACCACCATTACGATAATCCTCCTCATAATCATCATCGTCACCACCATTTCCATCATTGACATCATCGTCATCATCCTCATCATTAGCATCAGCATCGTCATCGCGAGCATTAGCATCATCATCATCATCATCATCATCATCATCATCATCATCATCATCATCATCATCATCATGATCATCATGATCATCATCATCATCATCATCATCATCATCATCATCTACAGCATCCGCATCCTGATCCTGATCCTCATCATACTCAGCATCATCATCATCACCACCATCAGCATCGCCAGCATCATCATCAACATCACCAACAACATCATCATCAGCATCACAATCACCACCATCATCATCGTCATCATCACCAACATCATCATCATCATCATCATCATCATCATCATCATCGTCATCGTCATCGTCATCACCATCATCAACATCAACATCATCGCCTCATCATTACTGGTAGCATCATCATGATCATCATGATCATGATCATGATCATGATCATGATCATGATCATGATCATCATCATCATCATCATCATCATCATCATCATCATCATCATCATTATCGTCACCATCACCATCATCATCAGCATCATCATCGTCCCCGTATCTCTATCTATCTCTTTCTCACTCTTGTGTTCGTCTCTCTCTCTCTCTCTCACACACTCTCTCTCTCTCTCTCCCTCTCTCTCTCTCTCTCTCCTTCTTTCCATCATCGTCTTCTTCCTCATCCTCCTCCTCACCATCTTTCTCCTTCTCCTCCTCCTCCTCACCACAACCACCACCATCTTTCTCCACATCGTGCCTCGCCCCTTCTCTTCCCCCCAAAACTGTGGCCATAAATGCTGCGGAAGTATCCTGCGAAAGGCACATATCTAAAACGAGGCACCCTCCGTCTGTGTAACCGTTGCGCAATTTTGTTGGGGAACGAGGGCTGCATATCGAACACGTGCCAGCCTCCATCCTTGTAACTGCTGCAAGACGTCAAAAGGAATGCGCCCGACGCCAAGACGAGAACCGCATTTTGAAAACGTCAGCCCCCCCCGAGCGTGCAAAACAGTCGGAGCTGCTCATAATCAGGATGGGCAACTGTAAAGAAAACTCCAGCGAAACGCCCAGCCCGGCCTGCGAGCACGTCTAGTGGCGCGACAAGGGGGGAATATGGGTCAGGGCCCCGGCCAGAGAGGAAGGGAACGACCCCTTCCCACCCTCCCCCCGTACCCCGTCCACCTCTGGCGACGACCGGCGAACACCTGGCGGGTTCCTGAAACCTTGGACCAACAAGCTTTTACTTCCGCCGGCGGAGCCGCCCTCGCTTTACTTCCGCTGGCTTCCGCCGACCTTCCGCCGCCTTCCGCCGGGGAAGAGGTGACAACTCCTTCGGCCCTCGAAAACTTAAACATCATTCTTCTCAGAAGCGAAACATCTTGGATCACGCGTGCCCTGGCTCTTGCACCAAGGAGCTGCGAGGGACAGGAGGCTTTCGCCTCCTTCCTCCAGGAGTTTCTTTCCGTGGCCGTGGGGGGCGAACGGCGAACGGCGAACGACGAACGAACGACGAACGAAAATTAAGATGTCCGAGCTCTAGAACACAGCTGTGCAAGATAATAAACATTTCTGAGCTCTAAAACACTGCGGGCAAGTCCAAGGGGGCCAGGGGAGAGGACGAACGAGCGGGCCAGGGAGGCCAAGGGGGAGGGAGCGAGGGGGGCTGGGGCCAGGGCAAGGGCAGAGGGGAGGGCTGGGTCCAGGGCCAGGCCAGGGAGGCCAGGGTGGGGGGCCAGGGAAACCAGGGGGAGAGGGCGAGGGGGCTGGGTCCAGGGCAAAGGCAGCAAAGCCAGGGAGGCCAGGGGGGAGGACGAACGACGAACGAACGAACGACGACGACGAACGACGAACGAACGAATGTCGACGAAAACAAGTGGCACGCGTGCCCTGGCTCTTGCACAATTGAAGGTAAAAAGAAGAGGAGGGGCATGAGAGGGCGCATCGAGATAAGACGCGGGGGATCGGGCAGGGGGGGGCAGGGCGGCGCCGAGGGTGGCGCGCGCCGAGGACGGCTCGCGCTCCCGCGCACGCCCCCGAGGAGCACGGCGACGACGACGACGACGACGACGACGACGACGACGACGACGACGACG